GACATTATTATCGCTGGATTTTGATTCGGCGCTCTATAGGTTAAGGGTTTGCCCGCAAGGCCGAAGGTACTGAAATCGTCTCCCGCCTGAAGTCGTGGATACCTGCTGTCCAAAGGCCTGGTACTAGGAAGAAATGGCCGTCTACTCCTTCCAGGATTTCAATGGTTATCTAACCTAGATCGGTTCATGATTTCAGTAAAATTTGACAACCTCTGCAACTTCATACTAGATTGTGAAAGCCATACTAAACTAAAAAGTTTAACTATTTCTTTCAACCTAAGATGTCAAACAAATACGGTATGGACTAGGTTTTCTAACGATTTTCAGAATTAAACCAATGTTTAAAACTGCTAGTTATCTGTTCAAAATTCATTTACTATACAGCTAGTTCTATTTCATAATCCAACATATCTTACTTACACCTGTTACTCCTCGTGAAGGAGCATAGGTCGCTCACCAACATATCACTTTATTAATTATTTTAGATAAAGAAAAAATCCCACTTCAACATAAGTAACGAAAATTGAAAATAAATGAGTTTAACAGATTAGCAGTTAGTGAAAGCGATATTAACTTGACTTTAACAATGAATAAATTTTAGTTAGTGTATACGCAAGTTCCTAATAATAATAATAATAATAATAATAATAATAATAATAATAATAATAATAATAATAATAATAGTAGTAGTAGTAGTAGTAGTAGTAGTAGTAGTAGTAGTAGTAGTAATAATAATAGTAATAATAATAATAGTAATAATGATAATAATAATAAATTAATGAGCAAACTTAGTAAATAGAATAAATGACTTTACAAGATGAAAATTAATCTATTAAACAATTAAACTGTCATTACTTATCACTTGGTTTCAGATATCATCATCATTAGCATGAGAAAAACGATCAGTTGGATAAATAGAAATAATTAGCATACCATGAATTGAATTCTCCTTCAGATAGTATCACTTCATAATGAGATGTCGACCTATTCGTGAAAAGAGATAGCAACCGTCTATTTCGGTAAGGATTTACAGTTTTAGCAAAACGTTTATCACCGTCATTTATTACGCCCCACATAACACATTCAGTAATTTCACTATGAAACATTCAGCACAACAGTTAGTCTCAGACTGTGACGGTGAGTGACGCGGGTGTGAATCCCACGGAGAGCTCTAGTCACGTCAAGGAAGCAGGTACAACTTAACTATGAGTGTGAGATTTTAAGCCAACCACTTACAGTCAGTCAGTCAGTCAGCTACAACGTAGGACCAGGCACATATGTGCATCGGTCCAGGTTGCCATACCGCATTAGCACAGCAAGATGAACACCGGATTCATAGGAGTGGTTAGGTCAAAGGTTGCAATAAGGATATAGTACACGAAGAAAGAATTAGTTCGTAGAAAGAAAGATATGAAGTAATTTTAATCTCTTAGTTTAAGGGAAGACAGGGAGTGTATACACCGACGCCATCGTGATCGATTCCGAGCCATGTCACCAAGAGTCTCCAACCATTGGTTACGATAGTCACGCGGACCCCAACCAAGTAGTCTGCATCTACCAACGTGGCTCAGACTAGAAGTTAGTGACTTCAGGCACTGATGCCACGATTTGGTTTGGCCGCCCCTAACTTTCTTCCAACCATCCCCTACCCCGGTTAGCATTGCACGTCGTGGTAATCGGTGTTCAGGCATACGTAATACGTGGCCCAACCACTTACAACCAACTATCATATGTGTATGCAAATAAATAGAATTCCAACCCAGTGGCTAATAATAAATATTTTTTTTGTTATATCCCAATGAGTAGAAAAATTGTATCTCTGACTTTTCATGACTGAATAAAGGCCATTTCTACTCTGAAGAAGTGGATTACATTAAGTCATGAAACGTCAGAAATACAATTTTCCTACTCAATGGGATATAACAAAAAATGTGTTTATTATGAACTTTCTAACCAATTTTCAATTTCTTTGGAAGTATCAAGTTCAACCAGTAGATAGTGTTCCATTTTATGGTGTAACCAATGTGTGTGAATTCTTAACTGGATACATTCTCATGATTGTTTTTGTTGGTAAAATGAAGTTAAAAATCATAATACGAGAACCGTCCAAAAACTCTAAATGTCATAATAAGACACTGGGAAAATGAATAAAAAATGTTAGACCGTTACAATATCTTGTTGCATTAGTCAAGTAACACTTCAACAGTAGGAATAATTTACTGTATTTAATTTTAAACACTAATATTATTGTGATCAGTTCGATTTCATTCATAGATGTGTTCTAAACAAGTAATGATGGCTATTACTTTCCATGTATCTGTCTAGAAATGACTATGATTTGACCAAAACGCATATAAAACATGATAACATATCTGACCATGACATTAATAAAATAATAAGAGTTCAGACTAGCTAGTTGTTCTTTGACACTAGATAACTAACACTTCATTGAATTCAAATTAACAAAAGACTCACAGTAATTATGTTATCAGAGACCAACTAAAACATTTTTAAGAAGTCTCATAGAAATTAAATTCACTCACAAGTCAAGAGAATTTGTTTTTCTCATTGTACGTAAAAACAATGAAGAAAAAGACAAATGAAATATTAAGTGTAATAAATAAAGTAAACAGACTGAGATAGGTATCAGAACAAAGTGGACGCTTTTATCATCTACCCATATAAGCTAACAGTAAAACAACATAACATATTATCACTCATTTCTATACACACAGGTAAACTGACAGCATGAGTTTGGTAGGAAGAACATTAAAAATTCTGGATCGACGGAATTCAATGAATGATAGAGAAATTTCGGGGAGGTTGATTTAGGTCAACTTGAAATCAGTATTTGAATCAATATAAATTCCACTTATCAATCTATACAGAAAAAGTTAGCCGTTTACATGCTTAAAAGTTTAGTAAAATAAAATAGTCAACTGTGTAAAATCATTGCTACATTTCACAATCGAAAAATTAAAAGGAAACGATCACACTACATTCGCATTTATTATGAATGAATCAATGATCAGCGCAGTTCTTCCGAATTCGAGTTATTTGTGGCAAAAGCAATCAATCAATCGATGAATAAAGAAGCCCATTTAAAAGCTGAATGTTATAATTATACCCGACAATAAATTTAATGTTCGCTAATTGTAGATAAGCGATAAGATGATTTCAATTTACTAATTAACCTTTATAAAACACTAGTATTTGAACGAAGAATATTCTTTTCGATAAATTCTCTTCAGGTTCTACAATTCATATATCCAAATTAATAATCCGAAAAAATTGCCAGGTTAAGGGTAAAGTACATCGTTTAAAACATGTGAATTTGGGATGGTGATAAACAAAATACAATAAAATGTTAATATAACTCATAGAAAGTTAACTTGAATCTGCGTATATGTTAAATGAAATTTTAAGATACCGCATTAGCACAGCAAGATGAACACCGGATTCATAGGAGTGGTTAGGTCAAAGGTGGTAATATATAGGAGAAAGATTGCATATAAGGATATAGTACACGAAGAAAGAATTAGTTCGTAGAAAGAAAGATATGAAGTAATTTTAATCTCTTAGTTTAAGGGAAGACAGGGAGTGTATACACCGACGCCATCGTGATCGATTCCGAGCCATGTCACCAAGAGTCTCCAACCATTGGTTACGATAGTCACGCGGACCCCAACCAAGTAGTCTGCATCTACCAACATGGCTCAGACCTGAAGTTAGTGATTCCAAACACTGATGCCACGTTTTGGTTTGGCCGCCCCTAACTTTCTTCCAACCATCCCCAACATCGATTAGCATTGCACACTGTGGTAATCGGTGCTCAGGCATACGCAATAGGTGACTTAACCATCTCAGTCGATGAAGATTCACAAACTCATCAACTGATTTATCATCATTCCATAATACCCTGCGTCTAACCTCACTATTACTTACCTGGTGATCCCAGCAGACGCCAGCAATATTTCTAAGGCATCTGTGGTCAAATACTAGTAGTTTACGAGTGTCTTCTACTCTTAGTGGCCATGTTTCGCACCCGTAAATTAAAACAGAACGGACTGTCGCGCAGTATACTCGTCCTTTTATTGATAGACGGATATCTCGCCTTCGCCATAGGTGACGTACGTTGGCAAAAACCAAACAAGCTTTTCGAATCCGTGGTGATACACAAATGACTTGTTCATATCACTTGTTTTATAGCACCATCTCTTGACCCTTCAATGTATCTATTACTAAGAATTTTGTAGGCGATGATGACCTTTCTACACAACTTTTTATGATTTTGGAAAAGAATCGAAAAGAAATCTTCGATGTGAATATATTCCTATTCAGATTAAAACGATTATGCAGCAATATTTCTCCATTACTAACAGTGAAAAAACTTATAATAAGCCTTGAGAAACTAACAAGCTGATTGAAACCACTACACTCTGGAAGGTTTTATTAGTTCTATTGTTTAACGCATCACAAAGTCATTCAAATATTGTTACTGGCTTGTCGCTATATTACAGTTACACTACGTCCACTATACATTTATCTGAAATATTATTCATTACAATGAATGATACTCTTTTTCTTGTAATGAAACACCATTTAAATGAAGAATAGATATATACTTAATAAAATATAAGGAAGTTTAGAAAACTGTCAAGTATAATTCACAAAACTGTTGCCCCTCTCGCTATATATCACAATGAACAAAAGAATAGTCTTACAGACGTCATAAAGTAATGTATCTCAAAGCAGAATCAAAGAATTTATAGTTCATTACTGAGATTATGACCAGTTTTTATGTTGAATACTTAAATGATCATTGTTACATGTAAAACTGTTGGGATTGCTCATAAACATTTTACACTATAAACGCAGATCAATCCCCATAGGATTATTATTTTGAATCTTTTTTCTGTGTAAAGTGAAATACAATCATGTACGCATCGAAATAATAGTCAGAATAAATTAGTAATATAGTGAAATCATGGACAAATTACCTTATTTACAAGTGCAATAATCATATTAATACGAGAAATCAATTGATGATATTGTCCACGAAATTCTGCAACCTGTTTACGAAGAAATAAAATAAGATGGTTCTGATAAAAGTAATCTATTGAAACAGACAACACTGAAGCAAATTTAACAGAGTTAAATAAATTTAAAACAATAGTTAATTGTAAGTTATTGAAAGAGCTGGGTATGGAATTTCTCAGTTTTTGTCGTTAAATCAGTAGGACAAAACAAATTATGTAACCTAACGAAAACTATTAACATTTCAGAGACTTGTACTAATGATTTTCAATATTATGATAAGATTCCATATGTGATTGATTTGGACAGAGATCAACTCCTTATGGAACCATAACAAATGTACTGGGGTAAAATAAATTTTTCTTGGTATTAAAAACGTCTAAAGAATAGTAACGGTAAGTAAATTACAGCTCATTCGACATCGACACTGAATGTTAGTATTAGCAGACACTACAAACTGAAAGCAATTAGTTGACCCAAGTGACCGTATCTCTGTGCAATTCACATAAGACGCTTATCTTGCTCCTCTGAATAAATAACTAATTGGTTTTACTTTCATCTATCTCTGTACATGAATATACACATTGTTTTTTCTGATCACCATCATCTCCCACAGCTGTTTCCTTATTAAACTAATTAAAAAATGTCAGTATCGACACCGTCCAATTCTGTCGTGCCAAGACATCTCTAAATTGATGAATAAATAAATGGAAATCATGCGAACTCAAGAAATCAAAATATTTTTGATGATGAGCGAAGTTTATCAATGGAGAAATAGAATATGACTAGATTTACTATACATATTTACCAAACCATGAAATACTCAAATTACGTTTATTTAAATAACACCAAACATCGAGTTCCAGTATATCCCATAAACTGGTGTATTTTGTTCTTTTCTAATCAGACTGGCAAGACTATTGCAGTATTATTTTAATAGGTGAATTCATGGGTCAATCTAGGCTAAACTACCACCGAAAACATGGAAGGACTGGATGTCCGTTGCCTCTAAGTATGGGACTCATCAGCAGTGCGCACCCATGACCTCACACGTGGGACTCGAACCCAAGATCTTTGGTCACGCGCGCAAACCACCGAGCCGGCGCTCAACGGTGTTAATGTCTAGCTCCAATCAAGCAGTGATTATTATTGTCGAAAAAGTCTCCAAAAATTTTAGGAACTCAAAGTTTATATACAATCTTTGATTTCTAGAAATCAAATAATCATAAATAAGAGCTTTAATTATATTATTAACTACTGGGTTGTTGGAGGCTCAGAATTCAGATGGATCATGAGAATCGAGAAGTCAGTTGGGAAGTCATTGTCACAGGCATTAGGCTGTAAAATTTACATTCATACTCTACATGAAATTACTGAAATCTTATAATCGAATTGTCTGAGTCGAAACTAAACCTTTCATCGCTTAGTATTATAACCAACTTATCACTAGATACAGATCCGTGTACTTGGTCTCAAACCATGCTTTAGGTGTGAAAATTAGTAATAGTAATCATTTGCCCAAACTGAAGTAGGTGGGCCACAGTTCGAGTCTGTAATCTATTGGCTGAAAGTTCAATGCTTTAACCACTGATCCATCGCTTACACAAATCAAAATGAAAAAAACATGAGGTAAAACAAAATCAAAGTAAAATGATAACCCATTTCCTTTATATCCTAACAGTGGAACATGTAAATAAATAAAGGGAAACATATACGAAAAGAATAAGGTTCACAAACAAAATGTAAACAATCCAAAGTACCACTAATCGGCTATAGTGTATGATAAATGAAATAAAAATTAATAATACAATTAACTAGTCGCCAACTCATGTATAATATAACTGTGATGAGTAAAACAATGGTTTTTGCCACCTGTACGACAGTGCAAACAATTCGTGTAGGACTGAAATATCACTTACATTTTTGGTTTTTTAACAGTCTATAATTAAACGATATTACAAAGTTACTTCAGTCTAACAACTAGGTGTTCACTTTTTCTATGTTGACAAAAATAAATCGCTTCAGTTATGCAAAACTGACTGGTTTGGGGACATGTCTAGGGTAGCCCAAACAAACATCCTGGACAAAAAAATGCCAAGATAGTAAAAGTTAGATTTATTAAAATTACAGTCGGTCAGCTACAACGTAGGACCAGACACACATATGCATCGGTCCAAGATGTCATACTTCATTAGCACAAGAAGATGAACGCCAAATTCATAGAAGCAGTTACTCCGGTGTTAGCAATATATAGAAAAAAGATTGCATATAAGGATATAATACAGGGAGAAAGAATTAGATCATAGTAAGAAAGGTACAAAGTAATTTTAACCTCACGATTTAAGGAAACTTGAAGAGCGTATACACCTAAGCCATTGTGATCAATTCTGAGTCATGTCACCAAGAGTCTCCAACCATTGGTTACGATAGTCGCACAAACCTCAACCAAGTAGTCTGCATCTGCCAACATGGATCATACCTGAAGTTAGTGAATTTATGGGTTAATGACACGTTTCGGTTTGACTACTCTTAACTTTCTTCCAGCCATCCCCAACACTAGTCAGTATTGTGCGTCGTGGTAATCGGTGTTCAGGCATACGTATAACACGGATCTCAATCATCTCAGTCGATGAAGATTCACAACCTCACCAACTGATTTATCACCATTTCTTAATACCTTGTGTTTAACCTCACTATTACTTACCATCTCAGGCATTTGTGATCAAATACTAGTAGCTTACGTGCATTTTCTACTCTTAAAGGCCACTTTTCGCACCTGTAAAGTAAAAAAACGAACTGCTGCGTAGTATACTCATCCTTTAATTGATAGACGGATATCTCTCCTTTGCCATAGGTGACGTAAGTTGGCAGAAACATGTGAAGACTGCTAACGGTTCTGTGAAGAAAAATATTGTACGACAGAAAAAGATGGATTAAAGATTTAAAAGTTACATCTAAGGAGGCAGCCATATTTGAATTTTGTACTGGGAAGAAAACAAGAAGCTTATTATTAGGGGGAAACAATGGAACTAAATTTCATCATGGAACACACACAAGTATGAATAAGTTATTTTGTTAAAAAATTTCTTACTAATTAAATATCACTGAACCATTTATTTTATCTGAAACTGTATTCAGGTAATCATTTAGTGAAAATATCCATTATCTTACCATAGTTTCATCCACAACCATAAACAACTCCACCACATATGGCTGCGATTCACCGGGACGATGGAAAACATGTAATGTATCCAAAATTGACTGGAATTTATAAAGAGAAACAAATCGTAGCAAAGAATGTGAACAACCCTCATTGTAGTGAAAAGATTTACATATCGTCAAGTACACACGGTTGCTTTTAAATCGTTGATGTATCAAATTCCTAGAGATTCTAAAATGCATGTATAGAGGGTTGAGAACAATCACGGTAAATCGTTACCTTTTATTTTCAAACCAATAAAAACTGATTGTACCGTTTGCCATTTGAATAAATATACCAGGGAAATATGCTTTTTTAATGAGCATACTATTGCATAGTTGTTTTAACTAAATGATATCCCTTAAATATATTTTATGAAAGTGATGTTACATCTACCATGGGAAAGTTTTATACTTTCAATCCTAACGTAACTATTTCAAGTAAAATACTTTGATCTCTTGTAGGCGCAATCTATCACGATTATGCACTATTCAGTTTTCTGATCACATCATATTATTGACATTTATAGAAATTCATCTACTTCATTCAGTAGTGTATATTACAATGCTCTAAAATAATTACAATAGTTCATTATTAATAAATTTTGAAATTTAATATTGTTTTATGCTTTTTATTCATTGATGATATTGGTTATTTTTGGACTATTCTTCTACTGTGGTGTGTGCTACTGATGTCGACAGACAGTCAGTCAGCTACAACGTAGGACCACGCACATATATGCATCGGTCCAGGTTGCCATACCGCATTAGCACAGCAAGATGAACACCGGATTCATAGGAGTGGTTAGGTCAAAGGTGGTAATATATAGGAGAAAGATTGCATATAAGGATATAGTACACGAAGAAAGAATTAGTTCGTAGAAAGAAAGATATGAAGTAATTTTAATCTCTTAGTTTAAGGGAAGACAGGGAGTGTATACACCGACGCCATCGTGATCGATTCCGAGCCATGTCACCAAGAGTCTCCAACCATTGGTTACGATAGTCACGCGGACCCCAACCAAGTAGTCTGCATCTACCAACATGGCTCAGACCTGAAGTTAGTGATTCCAAACACTGATGCCACGTTTTGGTTTGGCCGCCCCTAACTTTCTTCCAACCATCCCCAACATCGATTAGCATTGCACACTGTGGTAATCGGTGCTCAGGCATACGCAATAGGTGACTTAACCATCTCAGTCGATGAAGATTCACAAACTCATCAACTGATTTATCATCATTCCATAATACCCTGCGTCTAACCTCACTATTACTTACCTGGTGATCCCAGCAGACGCCAGCAATATTTCTAAGGCATCTGTGGTCAAATACTAGTAGTTTACGAGTGTCTTCTACTCTTAGTGGCCATGTTTCGCACCCGTAAATTAAAACAGAACGGACTGTCGCGCAGTATACTCGTCCTTTTATTGATAGACGGATATCTCGCCTCCGCCATAGGTGACGTACGTTGGCAAAAACCAAACGAGCTTTTCGAATCCGTGCTGAGATTTCGTCAGACACCAACTCATTAGGCTTGATCAGACTTCCAAGATAAGTGAAGTTGTCAACGCGTTCGACTACTTCACTCCCTATCCTTAGTTCAGGTGTTGATGCAGACCAGTCCTGAAGTAACAACTTGCATTTAAGTGGGGGAGAAGCGCATTCCAAACATTCTGACATTGTTGCTCGGTGCTATGAAAAGACCCTGCATTTTATCAGCGTCCTCACCAAACAGGACCATGTCATCTGCGTATTCCAAGTCGATAAGTGGACCTCCTGGTAGGAGATCAATACACGAGAACTCAGTCGACGAGAATGTTATTTCCATCAATAGGTCTATGATGAAGCTAAACAAAAATGGAGAAAGTGGACAGCCTTGACGGACAGCACTTGAGGTTGCAAAAGCAGATGACAGTTCGCTATAAGCCCTGACTCGACTAGTAGTGTTCGAGTAAAGAGCCTTCACAAGGTTTATGTACTTCTGAAGTACGCCTCTCAATGACAGACACTGCCAAAGAATCTCGCGGTCTACAGAGTCAAATGCTGCTTTTAAGTCAAGAAAGACCACCATTGTCGGACGCCGATAAGTATGCCTATGTTCTAGAACCTGACGAATGGTGAATATGTGGTCGATGCAGCCACAACCAGGTCTGAAGCCAGCTTGATTCTCTCATGTTTGCAATTCACGAGCCTTAGTTAGGCGTCCGATAATTATCGAGGCTAGTATTTTAGATACTATATTAGTTAAACTAATTCCTCTATGGTTGTCATAGGACGATTTTGACCCCTTCTCATATATCGGGATAATAAGTGATTGCGACCAGCCAGATGAGATTACGTCCAACTCCCAGATTTTAGCAAAAATATTAGTCAACCTAATCGCTAAAATTGGACCACCATCCTTAAAGACCTCTGGAGCCAATCCATCTGGACCAGCTGCCATTCCTCGTTTCAGACTAACTATAGTCTTTTGAACTTCAGCTAGAGTTGGCGGACCTACTTCAATGTTCCATTCACATTGTCTGGGAATGGAGGGTAGTTGTAGAGTAGCTGAAGGCCAGTTGAACTGTTCTCTGAAATGTTCCGCCCATCGTTCTAAACGTCTGGACTGAGAGCAGATGAGGCTGTCGTCTTTCTCCGAAATAATCTCACTTACACTTGACTTATTAATTCCAGTTTCATTTATTAGTCTGTAAAGCTGTCTTGTGTTCCCTACAGTCGCCGCCTTTTCCATCTCTTTTGCTTTCGTTGCCCACCACTGCTCACGGTCGTTTCTTAGACTTTTTCTTAACGCAGATCTGATTTGTTTACGTTCTTCATCATCTTCAGAACCTGTTGGGACGAGTTTGCGAGAATCCATCAATGTGATAGACTTTGAAGAAATCCACTGGTTCTTTGTAACTCTGTGGTTTAAGTCACTAATAGATGTCACTGCTGTTTCCACAGCTGCTTGTATGTCTTTCCAAGCAACATCTGGGTCAGCCTCGTCTTCAGAACTACCCAATTGTGAATTCAGTCGTTCTTGGAACTTATTTTTGGTTTTCTCGTTACTCAACTCAGTTCTAATGGGTCTTTTTACCTTGGCTTTTTTGCGTCCAGTGAGGCGCAAGCAGATGCGTGCCCGTATTAGGGCGTGATCGGAGTCCAAGCAGGTACTCCAGAATGAGCGACAATCTTCTACCGACCCTCTCCAACGAAGACTGATGGCAATATAGTCTATTTGAGTCCATCGTTGGTTTGGTGCAGAGGGTCGCCATGTTAGACGATGTCTCTCCTTATGCTTAAAATTTGTTTGCTAAAAATAAACGATTGTCTGAGCACAGTTGCAGCAGACGATCACCATTATATGTTTTCTGTGCTGGAATACTAAAATATTCACCTAAATGCCTTACTGTTTGGTTTAAACTACCTATCTGGGCATTAAAGTCACCCCCTACGAGTACTATGTCTGAACGTTTAGCTTCCTGAAGAAGTTCGGGCAGCTTTCTGTAAAATTCATCTTTCACTTCATCTAAGCTGCAGTCAGTGGGAGCGTAGGCAGAAACGACGAAAAGGCAACGACGTGTTTCTCTATCCTTCCGACTTCTCACGGAGCCGTTTAGCCGAACAGTACATAGACGACTGTTGACGGGGATCCACTCTAGCAGTGCTTGTTCCGCCCTCATGCTCAGTGCTATGCCTACACCTGCCAGTCCACGATAACTGGCGATCGGGTCACCAGATACACGGAGAGTGTATCTCGTTGGCTCTTCGTTTTGCCGAGGTGAGGTCAAGTGAATGACCACACTGGAATCCTGTATGCGTGTTTCAGAGACACAGCATACATCAATGGTACGAGATTCTAGGGTTTTAGCCAAGGAAGCCTGCTGACCGATTTGACATAGGGTGCGTACGTTGAAGGCTCCAATGTGTAGTTTGGAGCGAGGTTTCAGTAGACCTGGAACAGTGTTTTGAGCACTAGAATCGTTGGCTATGGTGACACTTGACAGGGAAGCCGAAAGAGGAAGTTTAGAGTTGAAAGTCGATGTAGGAGGAATAATAGGAATTGAAGAGTGAGGTTGATTATGAATACAGTGGTCTTGAGTGCTGTTAGAGGCATGAGGGTAGTTATCACTTACGGTTGCCCACACCGTGGAAGGGTTCTTCTGGAGGTACCTGAAAAAGAAATTGGATTAGAGGTGGTCTTAGTGACCTGAGAGCGTGACCGCAGTGCCCAAGGGACAACTGCTTGAGGTCGGTCACACATGGCCTTTTTATGGGTAATTTTTGTGTTGGCTCCGCACTTGTTGAGACTTTACCGTCGGAGACGGATATCCGTGGGATAAGGCGAGGTGTCCATTCTTAGGGTCGACCTTTTCTAACCCCACCCCTCCTTTTGGGGAGGCAGCATCACTGCCATGCTGGTTTTCTGAAGGAAACACCTTACTGATGTCACACCTCTGTACAGTCAGCAGTACGACTTCGCCTTCGGACCTTGGGTTTGTTGCTTTTAGTCTTACCGCTCTTCAACCGACCTGTCTGACATGGAAGAACCTTAAGGAACGGTTGTTCCAGCCAGTATAGCTCGGTTGCTTCACCACAATAGGCAAACCCGACCACCACGTCAAGGTAGCAACAACGGTCGGGACTGATGTCGACAGATATAAATAGTATATATTATCAGTTCAAAGTTGAATGCCTCACGGTAGAACGTTGAAAAAATCGAAGAGGAGGGGAATATAACAGAGAGTGATTGGTATGGAAACGAAGGAACAACAAAGTTTGACACAATTGTTGGATGTTTTGCAGATGAAGTCTTACTGTATGGTTGTCAGATTTTACCAAGATATTCCGTAATATTGAGTTAAAACATATTTGGTTGTCCCCACTGATGTTCTCGTTCACTACAATACTTACTGCCAATGGTAGTTCAACTCAGTTCTCTTCTATCATATTCATATGCTTCAACCGTATTGCTGGTAATGTAGTATGAGAAATGAGATTGATGAATATCTGACTGATCGCATAAATACAATCACCTAATATATATTGATTATATCGTCTATAATCAAATGGCGGAGCAAGCGATTATGTAAGTAAAAACATATGAATATATTATATGTTATATTTTTGAACACGTGAGGACTGATTACTTCATATGTTGTACAACATGTGAATTACTTGATAATTATAACCAAATATTAGCGAGTTTTATTTTTTTTAAACACACAATACTACACAGATACACCATACATATAAATATTAGAGTACTTACGGTATTTGTCATTGATATAGAGGCTGTAATGAGAAAAGATTTTATGAAGAAACAAAAATTACACGTTTGATTAGCAACACTTCACTTTAAGTGATAGTAAATTACTTTTAAGTGAGAAAGTAATATTAGCACTTATGAAAAGGTTAAACACTTATGGAAATATCTCATAAACTTATTTTCTCATTATATTATTACAAGGAAGTGATTACTTCTTTTAATTGTTAAATCGTCACAGATAAAAATAAGAGCTTCTTGTAACACGTTAAAAAATCAACATTTACTAAGTACAGGTTTATTTAAACTGAGCTTCAATTGCATAAGTTATTAATCGGTTTTTTCAGCACAATCAGATGAAACGGAGTTTGAACTAGGAAACTACTACTGATTGTAAGCTGGTCACCACCATAACTTAACTTGCAAATTAGTAGATGAGCTGCGGGTAGACGATAAATAGCTAACAACATAACTGTATTATTCGCCTTGGTCGATCGCCCTAGTCAGTTTGTCCCGAATTATCTGGGAGTAAACTCAGTGAATCGAATAGTCAAAAGACTTACGCAATTATTCTTTTATTCTTGTGGTTAAATGTACGTATTTCAGATTTTCTAAGTTATCTCTGAAATTTTACTTCTAGCTATTTATTAATATAGGCAAAAACATACTGGTTTTCTAATAAGTCTTCTAATTGAAGGCTATATTCGGTTCCTAAGCTCTTCTAGTAACCCCCTGTTGTGGACGTTAGATCCCCAGAACTCACTTAGAAAAGGTCCTAATCTTGCAATTTTATTCTCAAAATTTGGATTTTATGTTTTCGCGCCAAGAGACGCTTAGTTGACCTACAGCTTACATTTCGCGCTCGGAAATCCTTAAATGTCATTGATTGACGGACTTTTTTAGTAAGCTTTTTGTGGCTCTCCCAAGGGCGTTTCTATCATTGTATAAATAAGCTTGATTTGTGTGCTTAATGACCTCGTATTTTCTGGGTGCTTGTAGAATACATTCTCTATGTCTCATCAAGACTTCTTGATCTAGTTAGCAGGGCCGGGGACAACGGATTAGAATAGCCTATCGTGTCACTGTATGTTTGACCTTCGTTCCGTTTACCGAGTAAGGTGAACTAGTAATAGCATTCAAGCATATCACCCCCAGGATAAATCTACACAGCGATCTGAACACGAGATGAAAGGCGCGAAATATGGGAGAAACGCTTTACCCCAAGATTCGTTTATGTATAGAAAATTTAGGGTTTCCACGGTATTTTAGATGACCTTGAGTTTCTGGTATATTCTGAAACGCTACTAAACATATTAGCAGTGTAGGTAATCATCCAATCAGAAACTCGACACGTGAATTTTCATTTTTTTAGATTTTTCTGGCAAAACGTCTATTGAATGCTGATTGAATAAGATGCTTTTCAGAGTTTTCCGAGCCTTTGTTGACTTTTTTCGAGGAGTTTTCTGGATCTCCCGAATATTTTCTTGTTAATTATTCCTTGTAGTTTTGTTTGTGAAACTTGGAATTATTTTAAGTCGTAAGTGGTCTCTGCGAGTTTCCCTTGAGTTCGAAAAAATTACCTTGTATTTTTTCCTTCCACAAATTCATTATGCCTCCTTAGGTTACGTTTTTTATACCCAATCTTTTCTGTTAACACTAATGCTGTTACCGTATGTACTACCCTGGTATCTTACCGTATTACTGAAGTAGTGGGATCTCGAACCAACACACATATATCCCAGATTCTACGTTGCATATGACTAACTGATTTAATTCAGTATTTAAATGTTATGATACTACACATGGTGTATTTGAAGTAACTGTGTTAGCTGATTATTTATAAGCGATAATACCATGGTTTGTAAGATAAATAAATTTTAATATCACAATATGTAAATGATTTTAACGATTGGCAATGAATTCAGATCTTATTTGACTATAAATCTAAGGTAAATAAAAAATTAACTGATCATTATTTATCACGAGTAAAATAAGTCAAAACATATCTTCAATATATGCCACAATCTAAAAATTTGTTATTATCATTATTACTTTGATTGTAAATAGTTTCATAAACAAAGTATAGTAAGGTAGTTTTTCTCAGACATTTTCTCAAATCAACAATATTGTTATGCCCCAGTGTAGTAAACACATAATAAGTGACAATGTTGCATAAATCATGTTACCGATAGAATTAATTACATTTATTAACGTGAAATTATGAATATTGTATACTTAGAGAGATGTAACTCAACAACTTTGTTACAAGTCCTCACATTTTATACACCAATAAATCCAAATGTATGTGTTCAACTTGGAGTTGTATTGTTTAGGTGACGGCTAGTGTGATAATATTCAGTTGTTGAAATCAAAGTATGTGGAGCGAAATCCAAATATACCACACAACAGATGAAGTTTAAGTAAGATGAACGCTTAGCCGCTGTATGATTAGTCACTACATTATGGACTACACAGCTATTTTATAAGAGTTAATGGTAGCTCACTTCTGTTATTCAAAGCTCATGAGGAACTACTGCAGTGGATGCTACTCATAAGAATGTTTGTAAGTAGTATGTAGCGGGACGTGATGTCGGCGTTGCAACAATTGTCAGATAGAGTGAAGGATTTCAGTGCATCAAAAGCACAGTGTTGGCAGGACATTTGGAGGCCAGTAAAGAGAAAACTCCAGACCGCAGAAAACACCACAAGATCCAGATGGACGACTAAAGGCTACATATATGTATTACGTAAAAACTTCAAGCGGTGGACATACATACATTTTACCTATTGTCTCATTTTACATTACATCGAATTAGGACGTCTAAGCAATATGTTGAACCGTTCAATATGACCATAATATTTATATTCATGACTTGTACTTGATTTTAAAATGTTATTTCACTGATAAAACTTGTCTGCATCTGGCAATACATAAACGGAATTAGTTTCCTCTGAGCTGGATGATATAATTGTAAAGGTTTTATTGTAATTCTAAGCAGCATCAGATAATAAAAGCTTCACGATTGAACAACCGACCTCAGAGAGAACACAATATTTCATAAATCCTTCTTATTCCAAACAACAGATTTTGTAGAGTGAATTAATATTATGAATGGGTGAAAATTAATAGTATTGGTCATATAATTACTCTTGCAAAACTATTGTTATTTCTGTTCATAGATGAATTGAGTCGTTTAAGCATTGAATCCGTGAGGAAATATAAATACATCTTGTAGAAATAGACAATTATTTGCTGATACTAGTTACACTATACACTTGATATTATAATCTCCCTATTACAGTGTATTGTTCATTCACTGTTCGTATTTCCTCACGTAGGTAGATTAATCTGACTGGTCTCAATCACTGATTATGCCAGTCTATAAGAAAGGACAAAAGTCCTCTTGTGACAATCACAGAAGAACCAGTTTGACTAATATAGTGTCTAAAATATTAGCTTCAATAATACTTCGACGCCTAACTAAAGCTCGTGAAGAATAGACTAGAGAAAACCAGGCTGGTTTCCGACCTGGACGTGGCTGTATAGACCAGATATTCACACTACGTCAGGTCCTAGAACATAGACACACATTCAGACGCCCTGCAATCGTAGTATTTCTCGACCTTAAGGCGGCATTTGACTCTGTTAATCGTGAGGTTCTATGGCAGCGTTTGTCATTGAAAGGAGTACCAAAGAAGTATATTAACCTTATAAAGGCTCTCTATTCGAACACAACTGGTAGAGTGAGAGCTTATGGCGAACTGTCATCAGAATTGATTACCTCAAGTGGTGTTCTTCAGGGCTGTCCATTCTCTCCATTCATGTTCAACTTTGTCGTTGACGTGCTTTTAGAGATAACACTTTCCTCATCTAAATTTCCAGGGGTTGAACTTCTACCAGGAGACCCACTTTTTGACCTAGAATATGCCGATGACATAGTTCTATTTGGTGTCTATTTGGTCTCCTGACCACTATAAGCTGCAAGAGAAGGAAACATGAGAGAACCGTATGACAAAACAAAGAAACTCTCTGGAAATCACCGTAAACCAGAACGACCAGTGAAAAGCAAGGAAGGCAAGGTAATCACCAACATTGAACAGCAACGAAGCAGGTGGGTAGAACACTTCAAAGAACTCTTAAACCAACCAGCCCCACTGAACCCACCCAACATCGAAGCAGCACCCACGGACCTCCCAATCGATGTTGTCTCGCCAACAATTGAAGAGATAAGCATGGCCATCAGGCAAATCAAGAGCGGCAAAGCAGCAGGACCAGACAACATTCCAGCAGAGGCACTAAAAGCAGACGTAGCGGCAACTGCAAGGATACTCCACATTCTCTTCAATAAGATTTGGTCAGTCAGTCAGTAACAACGTGGAACTTCGTACGTACGTACATCAGTTCGAGTTGCCACACCACCTTAGCACAGAGATGCAGTTGTTGATTCAAATCCCGTAGTGGTAGAGGTAGCAAGAGTATAAGCAGTAATCGGATAGATTAGGGTTTGAAGATGTTTTTCAAAGAGTATAATCCAGTGAAATAAATTTGGAAAGAGAAAAAAGAAAGGGAATTCAGAAGATTAGAATTTGGGAGAACACAAAGAGTGTATGCACCTGCGCCATTGCAAACGATTTTGAGCCATGTCATTCAGGGTCTCTAACCATCGGTTGCTATCATCTCGCGGTCCCCAACCAGGTAATCTACACCTACCAACATGCCTCAGTCCACTTGTCAGTGACTTCATGGATTTGTGCCATGTTTTAACCCTGGCAACCCCTAGCTTTCTTCCAACCTACTCCTATACCGTTAAACATCGCTCGTCGAGGCAGTCGGTCGTTGGGCATACGTAACACGTGTCCAAGCCATCTCAACTGATGAAGTTTCACTACTTCATCAATTGATTTGCCATCCTTACCTAGTACCCGTTTCCTAACAACTGCGTTACTTACTCAATGGTCCCATGATATACGAGCAATGTTTCGAAGACACCTATGATCGAATACTAGTAACCTACGAATATCTTCTACTCTTACCGGTCATGTTTCACTGCCGTAAAGTAGGACGGAACGAACTGCTGCGCAGTAAACACATCCTTTGGTTGATAGACGGATATCTTGCCTACGCCATAAATGACGTAAGTTGGCAAAAGCTAGTCGAGCCTTCTGTATCCATGCTGAGATTTCGTCACACACCAGACCACAAGGGCTGATGAGACTTCCAAGATAAGTGAAGCGGTCGACACACTCAACTACTTCACTCCCTATCACTAGTTCGGGTGTCGATGTAACCCAATCCTGAAGCAACATTTTGCATTTCGAGGGAGAGAATCGCATCCCGAACATGCTTGCATTGTTGCTTAGAGTGGTCATAAGACTCTGCATTTTGTCAGCGTCTTCACCAAATAAAACTATATCATCTGCATATTCTAAGTCAACAAGTGAACCTCCCGGTAGAAGTTCAACCCCTGGAAATTTAGATGAGGAGAGTGTTATCTCTAAAAGTATGTCGACCACAAAGTTGAACAAGAATGGGGAGAGTGGACAGCCCTGACGAACACCACTTGAGGTAATCAATTCTGATGACAGTTCGCCATAAGCTCTCACTCTACCAGTTGTGTTCGAGTAGAGAGCCTTTATAAGGTTAAGATTTGGGATGAGGAACAAGTACCAAAAGACTGGAAAGAAGGACTTCTGATCAAAATACCGAAGAAAAGCGATCTCAGCAACTGTGATAACTACAGGGGCATCACTCTTCTCTCAATACTGGGAAAAGTCTTCAACAGGGTATTGTTAAACAGAATGAAGGACTGCGTAGACGCCCAACTTCGAGACCAACAGGCAAGATTCCGTGAGGATAGATCGTGTACAAACCAAATCGCAACACTACGGACCATTGTGGAACAATCAATTGAATAGAATTCATCACTCTACATCAACCTCATTGACTACGAAAAGGCATTTGATAGCGTGGACAGAACAACACTATGGAAGCTTCCTCGATACTACGGCGTGCTTCAGAAGATAGTCAACATCATACAGAATTCCTACGATGGATTAAACTGCAAAATCGTGCATGGAGGATAGTTGACAAAGTCGTTCGAAGTAAAGACCGGTGTCAGGCAAGGTTGCTTACTCTCACCCAATGAACGAAAATTTCAGATAATATGAAATTCAGTAAAACCAACAACTTCAGTATTTGTTGTGCATACCAAAAACTCTTGCTATATTTTATTTTATTCATTTTTCGAAATAAGATGAGCCTACGAAGATTGGGTGACGACACAAAATGATGTTAGTATACCAGTAGTGACAGATACAACGTTACGAGATCATATCTATTTACATAAACTAGGTGTATATGTCTAGATCAAAGTCGACAAAACACACGTAATGTCTAGCCTAAAAGCACAAGCCAGCTTTCCAAACTATATAAAACCGATTTATTGTTTTGATTTGTATAAATTTTCATACAATCAAATCCTGTGTTGAGTCAGTTAGAGTAAGAATTCATGCAAACATTAAGTTGTTACTCTCTTATTTTCCCACTTTCATATTTACCATCATTCAATGAATTGGTAGGTTATTAATTGAATGTGTCGACTTTCAAACGGTGGGTTTATTTGTGGGGTGTTCCAACTATGTCTGGGTAACTATGGAGTATCATTACTCTACCTAATTACACCGTAATTTATGTAAATTAAAGGAAGTTATAAAAACTTGATGAATTGCAAGCTTTTTCGAGTACATAGTATAACTAGTTTTCATAATACCATGAAACAGATAAGCTAAGTTGATTCAGTCTAATTAAAGTCAACTACACAGATAAATGTTGTATTTTATGTTTAGAAATAAGTCAAATAAAAATTCTTTAAGAATAAACTAGAACCAGTAAATGATGACTTACAGCGTTTCACTCTTCTGGCTATGTTGTTGTTACGATAATGTGAATCAAATAATTGAACATTGGTAGATGATGTTGAGTTAATAGTATAATTGAAAGAATGAAATGTCGAATTATTTCTACTTGGTGAAATTTGACTCCATCTTTGAACATTTGAAGATGCTTCAGTACCGTTTTCGAAGATCGTAACCTTTAAAGGAAAAATAGTGGAGTTGTACGTGGCACCGAATAAATGGCACATAGTAGTAGAGTGAACTGAATTATTGTCGTTTTGTCCTAATTCTTGATTTATGGATTCGATGAGAATAGTAAAACCTGATGGATATATTTCTGAAGATGAAATATTTACATAACCCCTGTAGAGACAGAAAAAACAAACAATTAGTACACATCAAACTAAAATGTGACCGAGTTTTTTTATACAAAATTTCTTTAAAATAATTAACTATTTATTTTTTTATCAAGCTACAAAAATAGATAAAATTGGTTCTACTGATAATAAACACCACTAAAGGACAAGAGACTTAGGACAGATGTAGGTGCAAGTTACAATAATGAATATCTGAATAGGCATCTCTTGAATAAATGTGAAAATATACCTAGCATCGAACTTAAGATGTACTACTGTTGCTTACTCAAGGTATACAAACTAATTGCAAAAAAGGAGCTATATAATATGTCACTTCGGTTTAACCTAGTTATAGTTGAAAATCAGTCCGTCAGCCCCCAAATGCCCTGGCACGACCGAGAATGGAGAACAAATAAATAAATAAATAAATAAATAAATAATAGTGATAATAATAAACAAAAGCACAGTCAGTCACCTACAACGTAGGACCAGGCACATATATGCATCGGTCCAAAATGCCGAACCTTAATAACACAGCAATTCGAACACCAGATTCATAGAACTCAGACTGAATCAGTTCTAATACCTAGTAAACACTAGTCGTCACTAAATGTCCCTATTTTGTCCAAATAAACACTTCTTCAAAAGGAAAGAGTGATTCGCGTTAAGAAAATGTACAGTAGAACATTGGCTATGGGACAAAGGTAATCAGATATTCATATTTTAAACGATACCTCAGTAGTAGTAGTAGGAGATACATATACTCAGGTTTCCGTAACAAACCTTATGGTATATTTAATCAAAGCTGTTTGCTTTTATGAAGATTATCCTCTTTGTTGTAAAGAATTGGAACAAAATATACAATTCAATCGGTTTATCTCTCACAGGTGCTTAACGCTCTTCAGAAGTGGTTTCTTCAGTAATTTGGGACATTGTCGATAAATTATAGTCAGGTGTTGTAACTTACAAATGAGAAAGCACAAATGCACAAAGCCTGAATTTTCCAGAAATTATTGAAAGATGTAAGATACTAACTAAGCAAGGACTGTCAGTTGCGCTCCTCATGAAGAGAACCTTCACAATTATTCTGAATTTTAATAAATTGAATAAACTCTTAACTAGCACACACTTTAAAATGAAGTTTTGAGGGTTAAATCTACAGTGCTAATTACCATTACTGGAAATGGATTAGTGATATTTACACAGATCGTTCAAAAGTTATCAAAAGACGTACTTTAATTCATTTTCGGAAAGAAAGAAAAACCCATAGACATCATTCTTTGAGGTTTTGCTAGTGAAATTGAGGTCGTCTACTTGTAGGCTGTATCCCGTAACACATAGGAGGTTTTCATAAAACTAAAATGAAATAATATTGGAGGTAAGAGTATTAAGTATCCAAAAATTCTGCTTTTTAAAGCTTTATAAGTAAACGTACAGCTATCTAGGCTGGACTTAATGACGAAACACTGAGTAGGGAACTATAAACTTGTAAAAGTTGACTACCTCATGTGACACTTTTCTAGGGAGAAGTCAAAAACAAGTCACAGGTATGAACGGGGATACAGTAGTAAACGTGACGATTCAACGTTACTACTCTAACAATGGATGGACTTACTCCATAGTAAGATTCGATAATTGAATGTATTTTAGATCATAGTACGGATGGACCACGGTTACCATTGAAGTCTTAGATGTGAGTTTCGTTTAACTTGGAACTCCTCAGGTTATTGCATCTGTACCCCACAACTTATGTCTACACCAAGATCCAGACAGTATATTTCACTTCAAACGCTTCGCTGCTAGCCACAGTCACTACTAAAAACTTTTGAATGCGGCAGTACCGAGGTAATCCGCACAGATGTACATATGCTAAAAAAACTGACTAGTTGCAGTGCCTAATATGTCAACGTACATAGATGCAATTGAAAATTGACTTGTAGTTTTTCAAAATTTTCCCACTTATTTGTCGCTAATATTTGGTTTTTCAATACAAGCATTGTGGAGCTTGGTAAAAATATGAAATGAATCGATTTGGACACGACATTCGAGTCTGAGTTCCCGAGTGAGATTAGACAACATTTGGTAGCTCAATGTATTCACCAAACTTGGAGTCAAGGAAACCGTTTATAAGGGCTTTTATTTTAATACTTCTAAATCTCCATGTTGTCATTCAGATAGCAGAGCTGAATGTCAGTTAGTATTCACTATCAGAAGTTATTTCTGCCATTGGAATTACAAATATCTTTGAACATGTGTGACAATGACCAATTTACACCGAGTATCCCGGTACTTAAGGGATAAACTACTTTTCTTCACAACCATGGTTATCTAGGGTCAATTGGATAACCGCATTTGAGTCCTAAGCACAGACCTTTGAAAATATATCACATGTCCATGGGAAGGAGTCCTCGAGTTTTGTTGGAGACATATTTTTGAATTTAAGAGCACCGAAATGCAGTTGTAGGAATGCACTTATACTGTTTTGTAAGCTCGAATTTCTAGCACCGATTACAGAATATAAGTGAATGACAAATAAAACCCTCTACTTTTTTGTCAGGACCCTGGTTTTTTCCCACTAAAGAACGTTATACAAACTGGCCTAACAGTTGGGAGTCAAGTTGAGATGAGTAAGCTTGTTTTTCTCTATAGATACATATATACACAATCAATATCGGTAGAACAAACAAAGCATCTGCATGTTTTATAATACATGTTCAACAGTATAGAACAGGAACCAATCAGACCTGACTTCCAACCACTTTATTTCTAGATACTTCAATCAAGTATTACATCAGTGCAAATAGCCGAACACATGATTTCAGCACTAACATATATCCTGAGTTAATTTTCCCTTGCAATGTTGATGGCTTTAATTACTCAACGACAGACTCATCAAAGTTTTGTTAATAGGCTATGTTTTTCGAGAACTCTTAGCCAGAGAAAGAGGAGGAGAATGACTGAGTTTGAGTGACGAATACATGTATGAACCACATATTATTGATGTAACTTTTATCACAGTAATCACTGACGTATACACAACAACCAATATTCAACAGAAAAAGGAGAATTACCTGACCAAATTTATTACCCGTTAACTGATCAAAACCATGACCATAGAGTGGTTGCGAACATTTTTTAAGGGATGTAACCACGTTACTCGAGAATAATCTACACAGGATGACAATATTTCTTGAGCTGACCTAACAGAAACATAATTTAATGAAATGTGAGGATTAACTTCATTATATTTAAATAAACTTGGGTTATTGAAGGTCATCAAATGTATCTGGTCTCCCACATTTATTAAAAGCGCTGTAATTACCAAATGAGGTTGGCTGAGAGTAACGATTACCTATATTTCCTAAAAACAAACATAGTTGAAATATATGCATTTCAACATCTTCTACTGCCCTCCATAAAAGTGGACGTCCGAATTCTTAAAATTTTATAAGTCCACATTCATGTTAAATCCGTGTCAAGGTGATGACCTAGAGAAGCAATCGACATGTTCAAATGTTAAACCAATCCTAGTTCTCATACTTCAGTCTTCAAATGGTTCAAATGGTTGTGGACAGAATAGAAGAAGCTTCCGCTTAAAGGACTTCCGTGTCTAGTAACAATGGATCACCAATAATTCCAGGCATGAACCTAGGTACATTAACGATAATAGAGGAAAAAAATTGGTAAATCATAATGAGATGTTATCCTTAGTTCTTAGGAATAGGTCAAGTTTCCTCCTAAAAGACTGCTGGGAAGTCGCTTGGACTAGTTCAGTTGGCAGCGAATTCTGGCATTTGACAACTTTTAATGAGTAGAAATTTTGTCTATAGTCCGTTCTGCTATGTTGTGTCTCCAATTTCTGGATGTTACCCCTTAGGTTTGTATTGGGACCAAGCTTAAGAAGGTGTCTGAAGAGATATCCTGAGGTTTTAAAAATATTGTAAGCCATTAGGTCACCTCTAAGACGCTTATACTCTAATGGGTAACGGTTAAGTGATTTGAGGCGCTCTTCATAAGGTTTGAATTTGAGTCCCGTAACTGGTAAGAATTGAAGTTTTATTGACCTATAACAGTTCTTGAAAGTTTTAATGCTGTGCATGTCCGTTTTTGCTTTCAAGGCATCAAGAGAAGGCACTGAAATCACGTGTTTTGATGGTGAATTCCAGTCATTCACTACTCAATGAGAAAAGGAACTACAGGTGTAAAACATTTGATCTGTTTTTTTAACTTTCATACAATGTCCTCTCAGATGATCATTTCTGGATTCAAAGGAAAGATTGTATATATTACTACCAAAATCATCGTTCACTTCACGATAAGACAATATTAGACCACTCCATAGCCAACAGTTTAATAACGGAATTAGGCTGATGCGTTTCAGTCTTTCTTCATAATGTAAGTCAGAAAAAACTTTAACCCTTTTAACCCCTTTTCATTGAGTTCATTCTACCTAAAACAATGACTCGGTGCTTGAGTCCGATGTTCCAAATGCGGCCTCACAGATGTCGAGTGTAATACCTTAGATATATCTTCCGCCAGGTACTGTAGTGGCTTACAACTAGCTTATAAAGCCCTGAAGCTTTTGTCAGCGGTAGCCATTCAGTCACTCATGTTTTCGAGATTGCTGCTAGTTATGACTCGTAGATCTTTACTGCCCATTAATTTAAGTGACACAACTCCATATATTTAGTGTTGATATGAATCGTCCCAGTTATTTGTTTGCACCATCACAATCTTGATAGAGATAACTTCTAATAACCACCTACATATCCATGTAACCAGTGTAGTCGGGTTATCTTCTAGCGTCATTCTACCTGAAATACTATGCATTTGTCTCCAAATCTATATGTCACCTGCAGAGAGTGGAACGGATGACTTTGCTGCCGTTGATAAGTCATTGACACAAATTAAAAAAAGAATAGGACTGAGAATTTCACCTTGAGGAACTCCACGCTTTACAGATTCCTACGCTGACGAAGTCACGCTTCTCCGTAGTCTCTGGTTTCTATAGTCGAAAAAGTCACTTATTAGTTTATGATTTAATAGTGGATCGCGAAACTTACAAGTTTTAGTTTAAGACCCATGTAAGATACCTTGTCAAAGGCTTTGCTTTGAAATATGACGACTTCATCCACCGGAACATTTCTATATTTCGCCACAACAAAATTGTCTCATGCAATGAGCAGATTTGTCAAGCGTGATGGGTCTTTGCAAAAGGCACGTTTCTCCTGGATAAAAGATTATGTCCTTCCATATAGTTAAAAGTAACCATCTGAATAATTTTTTCCATCAATTTGACAACTACATTTGTTCGACTAACGGGTAGATAGTTACTAAGTCCCTACCCCCGCTTTATGAACCAGACTGGTAATTATGTCTTCCCAGTCTCTTGGCAAAACCTGGAGAAATACAAAAGCCATCATCCAGAAAATATAGGTGTTTATTAACAACTGTCTACGCAAAATACTTTAGATCCATTGGCCGGACACTATTAGCAACAACGTACTGTGGGGGAGAAAAAACCAGATCCCAGCGGAGGAAGAAATCAGGAAGAATCGCTGGAAGTGGATAGGACACACATTGAGGAAAGCACCCAACTGCGTCACAAGACAAGCCCTCACATGGAATCCTGAAGGTCAAAGGAAAAGAGGAAGACCAAAGAACACATTACGCCGAGAAATGGAGATAGACATGAGAAAAATGAACAAGAATTGGATGGAACTAGAAAAGAAGGCCCAGGATAGAGTGGGTTGGAGAATGCTGGTCAGCGGCCTATGCTCCATTGGGAGTAACAGGCGTAAGTAAGTAAGTAAGTAAGTAAGTAAGTAAGTAAGTAAGTAAGTAAGTCTCTTGGCAGTTTGGATATCCTCGAAGATATAACCAACAATATGGTGAGAGTTTCGGCAATTAAGCCCATCAAGGTTTCATTATTCTAGGACAAATGTGGTCAGGATCACCAAACTTTTCTAGTTTGAGATGTTGGAGTAATCATATGATAGTTCCTTTATCTATAACCACAGGCTTCATCAAAAAGTTGTCATTACCATGATTAATTATTGGTTTTTCACTATCTTCTATGGGAAACACTTTACTAAAATTTTCTAATCAGGCCTCAGGTTTTGCAACATCATTTCTTTCTAGTATCAACGAGCTTTCTTGTACCTAAACTTGAGAGATCTCATAACTTCTCTCAATTCACATCTTCATACACTAGAACAACGTTTTTGGACTATTCTCACAATTCAAAACCAATTATTTTTCATGCAAATGTCTACCCTTACGTACTAATGCTTTGCAGGCCTTTCTTGCTCGACCATGAATGTTTCTATGCTGCTCGAAGCCCTAATATGCGAACATAATCCAATACTTCTTCCTACGTTTAACGAAATTCGTGGCGAACAGTCATTCCATTTACTTGTAACTTAGCATGGTAAATATGAGGACGTGACTAAATGAAGCATATCTTTAAATGTAGACCATGTTTCTTAAAGTGATGACCTAGTATTTGTTGAACAGTCTGTTGCTGCAACGCACTTCTGAATGGCTGGTATGTTTTCTCTATAAAATTGAGCGGGATTTACCCAGATCACATATTACGTTACGAGCTGTAGACATGAATGACAAAGTAGAATAATCGTTATTCGCCAAAGTTGGGTGATTATTTAGATATACATTATACGCGGTCACATGATCGATTAATAAGTCGAGCAAAGGAGATCCCTGTTTTGAACCAAAAAGTATGGATCGGGGTAATGTTGTACTAAAGCATGCTCCATCACCGTCATGAAGAGCCTATTATTGAAAGAGCTTACAGATTCTACGGTGTCCATCTATATCCAAGTAATATCAAATGCATTGAAACCTCTTAATATCAGGCATCTATTATTTTTACTTAGCTCAATGCGCTTTAAAACAAAGTCATCGGCTAAGCAGATTTGGCTAAGATAGATAACACCAATTATAAATGTACAACATTCAATGGTGAGCACACAGCAGATGAATTAACAGGTTCTACTATCATGAGATCCACAAACATAGGAACAGATGTTCATATTACTAGCTACATATATATGACGGCCAGATCTTTAGTGCATTTATCAATATTATATCTTAGGTATCCGGATAACTCTGGAGTCGCGTCAAAGCCATGGACTAATCGAGTCTTGGTCATAGCTACGCTGACTTGCTCGAATTCGTTCATCAGTACCCCTTGTCCAGAAAATTTACTTCTAATACTACGAGAATTTGAGTATAAAACTCCTGAGATGAACGACCTATTAATTCAGATCTTGGCAGAATCCACCTTCACTTAATGCATATGACTAGTGAGGACTAGCTAAGATTGATTTATTATACTACTGATTTAGATTTCAAGGTTATAAAGATCATAAACAAGAGAGCTCATCATGATCAACAGTGAGTACGAAGCTTGGTTCAGAAACAAACAATGGCATTTGGAGTTGTTTCTCTCTGCCACGAGGATTGACGTGAGTACCGAAATTATTTTAAAAGGATCAGATGCCGCAATTTACAGACTCCAAATAATGGGAGGTCTGTATGTACTTTCGTGTGATCTATCCTCAAATGATTCCTTATAAGGTGTGGTTTAGTATTAAAATTCACAGGTACTCTGTCAAGAAGCAGGTTATCACTAGTAATATGGTGTTTTGTCATTCTACACTGATTCATTGTATTTTTCAAAACAGGTCTTAAGTTTAATCCCTTGAGCAGGGATGAGAACATATAATTTCTAAATTTCAAACAAGTTTTGGAGCAAGTCTCTAACCATTTTGCAGGATATGAATATTTTCTGTGAAATCGTGGATACGTTTAAAGAAGTTAATTTGACCAAGTGAATTATTCACGCTATTCGGGATGGACACTGACACACAGTACTGTTTCTAGTGATTTGTAATGATCAGTCACATGTGCCCAACTTGGATGGAAGACAGATTCAAATCTTCACGCTTTATTTCAGTGTTATATTTATCTTTCATCAGTATGAAGCTATGCGAAGCTCTGTCTGCGTTCGTCTACGGCCAAGGTGCTAAATAGCCAGTCGTCAATTTCCCTCCAGTTCTAAGTAAAATATGAAGTATTAAAATAATATTACAAATTTATACCATTTTGGTTGACGTAAGATTTGAACAAAAAAGCAGTTAATAGCTTGAATATTAAGTGAACTGGATAGAACTGTATTATATTATCACAAAAGATTAAGTTACAACACAAAATGTCTCCTTAAGGTTTGGCTGAGTTATACGGAGGTTATATTCAACTCTACTAACCATAAATACACATGTTTTTCTGTACGTTTTTGACTTTTACCCAAAAATCGCTTCTCCTACTTTCTTCTGATTTGTGACTGTTTGAGCGTTGAACAGTCGACTTCCGTCATTTATATATTGTTTTTCTGAGTTAACCAAGTAGTGAAACCAACAGCATTCAATATTCCCCAAACCAGCCAAACCCTTGTATGACAATGAGTTTTCAATCTAAACCTCTGTTTATTCATTAGTTCTACCG